TTATTTCCAAAAAGAAGAGAGATCTCTGAATGCTGATAAATAGCTTGGAAATAAAGGCTTGTCTTTAAGAGTTGCTTGACTCTCCCTTAAATTACATATTGTAATGGAGACTTTTTTTAGTGGTTGTGTTTTATTTTTTTATTTTTTTCAGTTGTATTTAATTTGGAACAAGTCAGGAGATGTCACTGACTTTTTAAACAGAATATCACTGTTTAAGTTAAATTATGTTTTCAAATAGATATCCTCAAATTTCCAGACTTAAGCCTGAATACCTAGAATCATTCAACTCTATTGAAATGCACTTAAAAAAAACCCGCTTTCTTGTCTTAAAATCTTTAGCTGAACTAAAAATAGRTATTTGGAGTAGTGAAAACTTTCGAGTAATGAGACTAAATGTTCAAGCCACTCTATAACTTGGAGAGAGTGAAGCATTCAGTTTGTCCAGAGGCTTCTGCTGCAAGTTGCTGCTGATGTTCTGACGTTCTTGCCAGTCGCACAAATTCTTCCTCCTAAAATTCCAAATAAAACCACTGWTAATGGTGTAATGCTAAGCCAATCTGTGTGGTTTTTATCATTTTTCTGAACACTTTAGATTTCTACAAACAAAACACACAGACATCTGTAATTCATCCTGATAAAACATAGCAGCTCAGCCTTTTTATGAGACTTTTGTCTCCCACGTAGTTAATAAGTCAGCCAGTTATTGATACAAATCTAAAGCTATTAGATGTTGGACAGAAAAAATATCTAAATCTGTGTTTGTTATTTGCAGCTATATGAGAATTGTCATTGTGGTAGAATTGAGTGCTGTTAAAAGAGTTTATAACAAGAGATCTTAACAATAAGCTGCCTCTATTTGTGCATGCTCCCCATTTGTAATTGAGGGAAGAGAATTATTTRAGTTGTTTTTCACTCACTTCCCTTAGGAATATATTCTTATTGTAGAATTTGGGGGAAGAAACACCATGATCATAAAATCAAATAATTGATTTTAAAAGTCGTACTCTGTTGTCCACCTGCGGGATGTTAGATGTTAGAAAATGAATATATGAAACTGCCCTGTCCGGCGTCCTTTGTATCTTCTGAGCTTGAAAACAGGGGATCTGCATCCAGTGAACTCCTTAGGTAAACAGCAAGTATTGACCACGTCAATGGTTTCAAAGTCAGGATGGCGACTCAAGAGTCTCGCTCGAGTGCGAGACTGCAAAACGGCAAGTTTCAAAGATTGGTTAATACCAGCTCTTCATGCAGTTAAATAATGGGTGCTTCTTATTAAGAAGTGACCATTTCAGTTGCCTAATGTAGGAGGATGTACTTGTTGTCCACTTYGTTGCTAATAATCTGTGGTGAAATCTTGCCCGTGCAGTTTGTGTTAGGTTAAATAGCTGGGGCCACGCATCTTTYATGGTTTCTGCATGGAGCGCGGCTGAGGTTGTGCACTTGGGAGTTCTGAATCTTATCTGGACAGAGATAGGAAGTGATAAATGCCTCTGAGCTCGTGCAGATATGAATCAATAAATTCAAGAAGCTTCTTTACCTCAGAGAACAGAAAATTTCACAGCATTTTCTCCCCCATATCAGAATCTTTATGACTGTACTTGAGTGCTGCTGGATCATGTTAGCTTCACAGCGCAGCTTCTGCAAGAGAACCATTGTCTTAAATGTGAGCAGCACTTGGCCTAGCCCAAGCCCAAGTTGGTTTTCTGAATCCTCATTTGTCTCTTGCCTCTGACTTAGCTCGGTCAAACTCAAAGCTCAGGGGAACCACTGAGCCCTTGGTTTAAAGCAAGTGGAGAAGTGCCTTGCTGGACTGGAGCACTGTGAAGAGTGTTTTCCAGCAGTGACCTGCTCGGATTTTCCTGTCCGCAGAGCAAAGTGGATCATTTGACAATATCCAACTGCTATAATCTTGATTAAGAAAATGATTTCACGGGAAAGATGCTATTCATCGTTTTAAGGTGACTCCTGGTTACTGTGCTTTCAGAGCAACAAGCAAGGCAGAGTTTCACAGGTTTTGACAAGGCAGAGTGCTGAAACCCACATTCACTGTGTGTGAAACGTTCCCACGCTTCTACTCTCCTTACCAGATGGTCTCTATCAGCCAATGTTTGTCCTAGAGGGCAAATGTAGTCCTAGAGGGCAGGAAAAAAGCTACTTATTTGTGTAGCTTGTTTAGATCTAAGTTTTCAAACAAGGAAAGCCATGAGGCAGAAACAAAAACTGCGTGGGCTTTTCACCAGTTCTTTGCAAAGAAATCTTTATCGGGAGGGTTTTTGGTTTTTTTTTCTTGCTTGCTTCTTTGTACTGAAATTCACCCTTTGTACAGCAAATAATAAAATATTTTGTCCTACTTTTTCTCTGTTTTTCTTTTAAAAAGTTGGCAAGATCTGCAGGGAACTTGACAGCCTTATTAAATTATGTTGTTACCTGAGCATAAGATTTGTCTCCATCCAAAATATTGAAGTATATTTTGATTCAAGCAGTGGGTAATTAAAGGCCAGCGAACAAAGACTGTGATACTTTGGGTGTCTTAAAGGATTCAGTAGCAAAAATAGTTGCTTGCTTGTTTGTGGTAGGTCTGCAGTGATATAGAAAATTGTATTGATTTCTTGTTTTAAAATGTGCATTAAAATAATGCTTGTATTTGAAAAGAACCACAGAATTTGCTCTTGTGCCTATCTGTGATGTTTCAAGTGGCAGCAGAAAGATGGGGACTCTGCAGCTGCAGGTGTGATTCAAAGTGCTGCAGGAGTTAAAAGGGAAAGGACTGAAGAAAGTGGCCAGACCTGAGTGCTTTCCTTAAACATTGACTTTTGGACACATAGTATGGGGCTAGATGCTTCCCAGCATGGTCCTTTTTGTGTTTTGTAGAGTATTTAAAGTTACATCATGTAAATACTACCATAGCTGTAGGTGGTTATTTGAATGTTGCAGCTTAACTCTTGAGATGGTATCAGTAAAACTTTAAAACATCCTTTTTTTTTTAGTAGTCAGGGAGACAAAAATGATCTCCCCCCTGTGTTTTTTGAGATTGTGTTTACCTTCCCTCTCTATTATATTGCTGAAGACCCACATCTTTAGCTGGTGTAGATGCATTGGAATATATTTAGGATGTAAAAAGCATACAAAGAAAATGTGCTTAGTTGCTAATCATCTCAGTAATAAACTCTGTTCTGCTTTGTGCTCTAGAAATGCTCTCTGGGAGTCGCTTAACAGACTCCATATCTGTGCTGAAACATAAATTACGTTTATTTTCCAACAGTGTGCTACTGCTTAGTAACATAATATTTGAAATCACTTGTCATTCCGGTTTGACTATGGGAAGATTTTTCCGTGCTTTTGACTGCCCTGGGGCAGCCTGGCCGAGAGGAGCTGCAGAAGACGCTCATAACGTGGCTCCTGGTTGAGCTCAGGGGGCAGCTGCGCAGCACAACTAACGCCTGAGGTTCCCTTCCTTGTTCCCTTCCTTGTTAAACGGTTGGTTCGAGGTAGTTGAAGGACTTTGGCTCTCTGTCTTATTTTGCCTGCACTTGCGTTTCTTTGGGAGGCTTTAGAGAGAGGCAGCTTGGCAAGCTGGTGTCTGGAAATTTGTGGGGACCAAAATGGATGGGACAATCTTGCTGGCTTGTGGCTGCTCCTGTGTTTGCTGGAAAGCTTGSATTTACAGCCCTGACTTCCACCTTCCCACACCTGTTGTCCGTCTCCCATGCTAAGGAGGCCTAGGATGACTGAAGCACTTYGTTTTTATCCTGGAGCAGTGCAAAGAAGTCAGGTGGGAGAGAGGACCTGGTTAATTCAGAGGTTTAGGAGTGTCCTAGCCCCGCTCTCAGCCTCACTTTGTCCCTCTGTTCAGCTCCCTTACACTGTGCAGAAAGCAGGGTTACATATCAGATGCTGGATCCATCTGGCGCTCCTCTCACGTGCACTGGCAGCTCCGTTCTTTGGGAGTGGTTGGCCTTGGCTTTGCCTCTCACGTGCACCACACTGTATAACGCTTGGGAGAGCTTGGAGGGAGCTCCCACTTGAGCAGTCGAGTTCTTGATCCCTGCACTGCCCCGTTGCTATTTGGCAGCGCGGAGCCTGGCCAAACACACCGCTGCTTAAGAGCTTCCAACACAGAGCAGTTAACACGGGGAGATGTTTTAAAGTGACAAGTAATCTCTGCTGTGTTTTGCTAACCTGATCTTGTCTTCCTCTGAGTTCAGGCACAGTGAATGGAATGTCTCCGATATTGAATTTTTATGATGATGTATGAGCATGTTTTCTGCTGTTCAGCATGTTTTCTGCTGGTGCTGTTAGTGTAGGAAATGGGGCATTTTTACTCCTAATATCAGGCCTGTATTCATAAGGCCACAGTGTGTAATAGTAGCTCTCAGAGCTACATAGATAATGGTTTTACTTTTRCAGTTGTCTGAAATTGAAAGAAGGTTGTGTTGCAAGAACTATGGAGCCATTTCAAAAAATAATTTTTTGAAATAGTTCTTTATATTCTTTGTTGTCATTTCCCCTCCCCCAAAAAACCCTTTTCTATAGCACAACCTCTCAAGTTCTCCATCCTTTGAAGTTTTTGCATTTGCAGAAAACTTACTAAAATAGATTTAGAGATATCAAAAAGCARTTTGCTCAGAGGATATAATAATTAGTAAATGCAGTTGTCCCTACAACTTAATGGCTCTAGTGTGCACGTAGCTTGCTGTCAGATTCAAAAGATTTGTGAAAGGCAAAATAAAAAAAAATACTGYTTTCTGTCAGGCATACACTTTGAGCTGAAATGTGTCTTGAGTGGTTTTGCAGTGCTAAGACTTAAAAATAAAAACTGCGAAATTAAGTGAGCTTGCGATATGTTTCAGGAATTGAGGACAACCACAGTGCACCTGTGTCTTCTGCAGGTCTCCTGGAAGCAAGCAGCTGAGTAAAATTTAGAATTTTAGCTCCATTCCTTCTGTTCTCTTATGAGCAGCTGG